AATTTCAAAATTTAAAGTTTAGAGTAGAGACCAATTTTCACACTAAGCCCTTGTTTGATGTCAATTTTTTTCAAAATACATTTTTCTATATTTTCTTTTTAATTACACATTTTTCAATAAAATAATATTACACGTAAATCTAAATTTTTGTTCTTATTTTTTAACTACACATTCTCCGTGAATTTACTATTCCAAAATGTATTCTTAAAATTTGAATGGGGCTCAAACGGGGCTCTAAAATGACGTTTTACGTCAAATTGGTGTTGGGTTGGAGATGAACTCATTAATTAAGCCCTTGTTTGTTTATTATTATTTCAAGATTCCTTTTTTTTTTGGTCAAAATAATTTTCAATTACAAATTCTTATATAAAATATTTTACATGTAAATTTAATTTTTTTTTTTGTAATTTTTAATCGCACAATCTCCAAAAAATCACTATTCAAAAACTCATTCTCTTTTAAAAGTGTTAGACAAACAGGGGGCTAAGAATATGGGCCTCACTAAACAAGGTCGAATCGGGTTATAGTCCAATCCATTGGTTAATGAGCGTACTTTTATACAGCCCATTTAAATGGTTGTCCCAGAAAACCTTTTATTAAACGGACGAACATTAAAATCATAATTATTCATTCAACGGCGTTAAACTTGAACACAGAGGGACTCGAAAAGCAAATGGCGGGAAATGATCCACAGAAGCAACTCCTAACCCTAATTCGCGATTTCGCATCCGAAAAATCTCAAGGAGGTACAGAAAGAATGAATGAATAGATCCAAAAAAAGAAATGTTCGAAATATCTCTCCGGCATTATGTCCTTAATACTTAAGTTGCGAGAATTGAAATTATTGGTTAAGTATATAATACCTGCATTTAAAATTTTTTGAATTTTGCAGAGCGGAGAATTGTGAATCAGAAGAAGCAAATCGAAGAGCTCCGGTCAGAGCTGGAGGCAGCGAACGCGGAGCTTGAAGGTGAGAAGCGTCACAAGGAGAGTACGGAGCAGGAGCTCAAAGGCTACGAGGTTGAATTGTCTATGAACGAGGCTTCGATTCAAACTGTTAAGGTTCGGTTATCCCAAATATTTTGTGATGCGATTTACTGAAAATACGTTTTTAATTTGTTCTGTTATAATTCTGCCCTAAATGTGATAATTAAGTAATAAGGTGAATTTCTTTGTAGTTTCACAAAATTTTGAATTGAATTTTCTTGGTTAATCGTGATTTTATTACTTTCTTAGTTAAGGTTTTTTTTTTTTGAGTTATTAATTGTGCTTGATTTACTTTAGGCGAGGATTGCTTTGACTCAGGATGAGATATCAAAAGTTGGATCTCAACTGGAAGCTCTTAAGGTGTAGTCTAGTAATTGAGTATAATACATACGTACACTGTCATTGCTTAGACATACGCTATCAGTGCATTCATATATGTTTGTATGGGTACATATTTCTTGACTGAGAGATTATATTTTTTGCAATTGATATGGCTTCTGGTGAACTATGCTTCAATGATTCAAAGAGTGATGAAAGTTCTGCCCGGTAAAGATTTGCAATTTCTTTTCAGTTAAAGGAAATTGATTCCTCGAAATTTGAGATGTAATAATTGAACCTTTTCATTTAAATGTACGTTTTTTAATTTTTCACAGAGATGGCTTTATTGGCAAAATGCTTGAGCTGAATGGACAGATTAGGTAGGTATTTGTTATGTGGTTCATCAATAGTGGTTCATCAATAGTTACTTGGCTTAGTTCATGAAAGCATATTCATCCTAATATAAAATTTATAAGCCTATTGGAGGAATCTCCTTTATTGGTAATAAGGAATTGTGCTATTGTAACTTTATTGCGTTGTATCAGTATTTAATACTATAGTTTTTTGCTAATCCTGAATAGAGCAGGTTGGTTGACTGGATGCATATATCATAATGTGTTGGAACACTTTAATTAGTTTTTCACTATACTTTTCTGATTTAATCTCTCATACTCAAAATTTGGCAAATTATCGCTTTCAATTTACTGGGCAGGAAATTCCAAGAGTCAATAACCTCCTCTTTTGGTGCAGAGAACTTCTTTGAAGCAACATCAAATGATGGTAGGTATAACTTTTAGAACATGGACATATGAGTTATGACTTGTGAGGAATTCGATTTGTGGACATCATGTTGAAGCTTATGAGATTTTTTTAATTAACGTGGAAAATTTGACATATAAAAGACAAGATTCTGTTGATTATTTTATCGCACCATTGAACACACAATAACTGCCTAGGTTGAAATTCTGCTATAACCTAACATCTTTAATTGTATACCTACCTATTGATGCTAAGAATTGTTTTTGGAATTGTTTGAAAGTAGGTTCCTTGAATGCTTCTGCACAAGATGCTCTTGAAGCTAGAAGAGATTTGGAGGATAAGCTTTCCCAAATAATATCACAGACCCATGTGGAGGAACAAGAATACCACAATGAACAAGTAGTTTATGAACAGGTGATGAATGTCTTTTGTTTTTCAAACTACTCCTTATCCTACTAGTTATGAACTTGTAATCTCATAAAAAAGGACTCTTATCTACCCTTTATTCTGTGATATAAGTTTTTTATGTTTGGTTTTATTCTTTTTCTGGATAATTTGATTGTGCTAATGGACCTGCTGGCAGATCCAACAGGACCTAATCAATTTGGAAAAGAGAGCACTGTTAATGGAGGCAATTAAGAAAGAAAGTTTGGAGTTGCAGGAGTTGAGTGGATATCCTTGAATTTTGTCCAGTAGTCTATGATATCTTGGCCACTAATCTTCATACTGAATGAAAACCCTTAAAGGAGAAAAATAAAGACTGCTGATTGCTACAAACAAAAGGCACATAAAAGCATTCAAATATAATTTGATTAGTTATATTGTGTTGTGGATATTAGGGTCACTATTCTCTCTTCATTCTGTAATGATGACGAAGGACATCGTGCATTATTTATGTTGAACTAGTTTATTTGAAATTTTTGGGTATTTCCCACCTCCTAAAATGATGCATTAATGTCTTAATGATAGCTTTAAAGTTTATTATTTTCATGCACAATCCATGTGGCGTTACATCACTATTTTGAATTCCTTGACCAATTTTCTTTGTTTTGAGTGGAACAAGCAGACATCTGAATTGGAAGTGAAGTGTGCTTCCAATGGGGACAAGCTGCAGAAGAGGTTTATATGTCCCCGTTGTGATCGAGATAATTCAGAGGAATTGAGTGGCATTCTTTAGATGAGTGATGGAAATGAGCATCTTACAAGTAGCTAATTCAAGGATCATCATTTTTATCTGCTTAACTTGGCTTGGTTTTATCAGAAGGTTCTATAGAGATACTTGGAACTTCATATGCTATGGCAGCTAGATGTCACTTTTGTGAGGCTATATGTAATCAGACAAAGATTATCTTGTACAGGTGAGGCACACTAACTTTTGCTCTTCTTACTTATCTTGTGTTGTTTTGATATTTCAATGGCCATGGAATTTGTGGAGTACTTTTTGCTTCACATATAGAATTACATATACTTTCTTTTCTATTTTGATGGCTGACACTTGATAAACACACTACTAACACTTGCTTTTATAACACAAAGGAGTTTCCTGCCATTATCTGTTTCCTCTCATTTTTCTCTCCAATGGAGCGGAGGTATATTTATACATTTATCTCTTTCTTATCAATACAATCAATCAAATGAAGTAGTTACCTCTTTATCATCTACTTGATATACAAGCTTGCATATATGTTGGTGAAACTTCCATATCCCCGACAATTAGTGATAGCAATGTTGATGGGACCTCTTCGATAGCGCTCTCCTGCCCATGCTGCAATAGTATTCAAAGGAGAAACTTAAGAATTGGTACTTGATTTCAAATTTATGTAACCTATCCAGCTTAATTACAGCAAATCATCTATCCGATAGAACAATATTTAAGTGGTTTAGACTACTTACAGTTTTGCTAGGAGTTCTTGGGAGGAATGTCATGGGAATTGCTGCAAACCTTGGATTGGCAGATTTCACCACTTCAATTCGTGTACAGAAAAGCGCTGAGACAGGCCGATGATCAGAGAACTTACTTTCACTGCGGAAATAGGAAAGTTGCCTGACTCCTTTACCATACCACAGAATCCTGTCACACCTGCAAATTCAAAGTTCAAACCATATTACAGCTCATTTACTTAACTTGGGAAGATAGGTGGAGTTAGTTTTCTGTCTTTTTAGTGAAGTTTCTCGTAAAAATTTAAAACATGAATGCAAACACATGATACACGCATACTAAATAAAGATTTTCTAGATACAGCTGAAGGTAATTAGTAATTTATATGATAAAAAAAACAAGGAACAACATCAAACAAAGTTGTCAGGGCATCAATGTACCACGCTGGAGTTCTTTGCTTCTCTCCTGCTCTACTTGGAATTGCTCCTGAATATCTATTGCAGTTTGAGGAGGAATACTTGTATGTTGGTGCGAATTCTATGTTTCCCTCTTTCCAACCCTGAAATACACCACCATCATCTAGTTCCCTCCGCAATTGATCAAACTTCTGCAATGCTGTCCAATCTTGTTGTCTAATGAAATGCCTTGCCATGTTATCTTCTAAATATAGTCTGTAGTTGAGATCTCCAAACCAGAATATTCGACTGCTCTACAAAGAACATATTTTATCGTAAGCATGCTTAAAGTTACCTTTCTGTTAATTTTTGTTAACAATTTTCTTCCTTACGTAGATAAAATAAATATAGGTTATGACTTTCCTCTTTCTCTTATGATCTTGATGGTAAATATTGTGGTTACTCACAAGTCACCATCGAACCATTGGAGAGACAAGTGTGTCAGAGCATGGCATGTATTTCACCAATGGTTCGAACCTCTAAGTCATGTTTGCTTAGTAATGAGGATATTAGATTCTATCTTGAATTCCAAATGAGTTTTTTAATATGCTGTCAAAATTAGAAATGCTCATGACAAGGGCATAGATCTTTTCCCTTCTTACAGTCATTCATTTATCTGTGCTGGAAGCTTAACTTACTCGTGCCCTAAGATGGTAAGTGGAAGAAGATTATCTTCGTCTTCAGGTAGGCGCGGAAAATATGTGCGCCTAAAAATCTCAGACACCTGGTGATTCCTTCTCCCTTCGTCCCCCTTCTTCTCGCCAGACGCTAAATGAGCTACTATGAAGCAAAAACTTGTTCCATCAATTGACATACTGACGGAAACTGATCCTTTGTTACCTAAGTAACCCATGATACCGCAAGCCACCGAACAAACTTTCACTCCTGCTATGTTGTATTTTTCGAGCAATTCCCTTCTCATCCATACACTTATAAAGACACCCACCATCTTCTTGCTAGCCATTAATTTGTACTTACTTTGCTGCCCAAACATTGTAGTTGTGGTCGGACCACTAATACTAGGTCGTCTTTCAGAGTCAGGAATTCCTTCTTCATGATTATTCTCAGTAGCGATTCTATTCACCAAAGGCGTTAACCACGGACATCCATATTTGTTATTAAGAGTTTTTCCAATTAGTAGGTTCCAGTTGGTAGCTTCTGTTGGATCTTCTGCTCCAATTACAGTTTTCGCCTTTAACGGTACAATTTCTTGAAATCTGCATCGTGGAGAAGTGTCGAGCTTAGAGAAGATTTTCCTTCTTACATCATAAGCATAGTGCTCTAAACTTGATAAAAATCAAATTTTTAGTAGATTTTGATAAAAGATGATGAAATTTGTAATTTAAAAATTGTGGTTCTTATAAAATATGTAATTATAATTTATTATTGACTTTGACGCAGATTTTAATTCACTGAACCAAACAGGGGCTAACTGTATCTTTTAACGTACCCAAGGACATAGATATCTGCTGCATCTTTGAGATTCAGCCATTCATCCAAATCTACAGCTAAACTTCCCACAGGGGACCTTCCGGCCACATTCCATGTTCCAACAAAAACTCTGAAAGCAAAAATGTTCACCCCCTCTTCAATACAAAAGTATTAAAGGATAGTTTTGGAACGCAGTACTGAATAATTGCAAAAATATTATCCTAGACCACCTACCACACAAAGGCATGCTCTTAAAACTCTCACCTTAATTCATTGGTCGAAACGCATGGATCCATCTGGGATGATCCATCATCGACGCCATCCATGTGATCATCATTCTCTTCGCCACCATCTGCATGCATAAACAGGCGATTCAACCTCGAAATTCTTTAAAACCTATGAAAGAAATTTTAAAGAGGATAAAGTCAATATTTTATGCCTGATATCACACTCAATTGAAATGGATCTGCTCCCTTGTGCTTCCTCGAAAACCACCGAGGCAACCTTATTGTTCTCGAGCCGTGGTGCTTGTTATCCTTATCCATGTTTCATTAAACAGAAACATTCCATGTTCCAATTACAATGCAATCAACAATAACAAGGTCGTTCAATTTCTTCTATGTTTTAGGACAAAAGGCTGTATACATTTGTGCTTGTATTGATCGCCAGGCAAAAAGACTACGAATGAGACAAGCAGAAAAATCTGGATCAATTTACAGTTCAAGCGATTATAACGAGAGAGAGAGAGAGAGGTCAAAGGTGGTTGTGTTGCACCTCTCCGTGAACCTTTAATTAATTTGTAATTTACAAAGGACGGAAAATTATAGAGTAGTTCTGGACCTCACGTGGTTCCATCATTGCTTGATAATTGGTGGGGTAGGGTGGGGTGGCACGTTCCATCTTATGACTAGGTTTTGTGCGAGGAAGTTACCAAGGCGAAAAACCCAATACATTCTCGAGAATGATACATACCTTTTCAATGGGGATGAAAACACCTAGACTGTGTTTTCATCCCCAGTAGGGATGAATAGCATTACTCTTTTTTAAAGCGGGAGCCTATGCCAACTCATGCCCAACCAATATTGAGAAAAAGGCGGTTAATATTTCTCTAATCTTTTAAAATTCAATTCGAGGGTTGACTTGGAAAAGGTCAAAGAATTAAGATCAAAAGTTGCTAAAATCGAATTGGATGTAGAAATAAATTATATATTAAGATTTTATAATGTTAAAGTTTTCATAGCAAGATATATTTTAAGACTCGATCATATCCTTTAACAAACATTTTTAATGCATTCGGAAGATCCAACTTGAGGTCGGTTCAAACTGTTATCCCTTTTTAAACTCAGTAGATCCACCTAATTTTCATAACAATGATATTTTTAAAGAGCTCTTTTCGTTCACGATCAATGGCCTGTTTGATAAGATTTTTGTTTCTATTTTTTGTAAAGGAGTTTCTTGTGTAAATTACCTTAAACTCGCTTTTTTCTAAAAGTTTTTTTTAAACTCACAAAGCATTTTTAGAAAATTATCAAAACATGTAAAAAACGGCTTCTTAATCTCATAAGTAACTTTTAACTTCTCAAAAATCCTGTCAAACGGACCCTAAGTGCATAAGATTTAATATATTGGTTAAATGAGAATTTTTCCAACCTTCACCTTTTCTGAAAAGGGCTTTCTTGTTCAATCTTGTTAATTTTTTTTATGGAAACACAGTCTCGATGAATGGAGGATTATTATTCCAAGTAAAGTTCCAATTGCTATAAATTATGGGGGCTCCGCAGTGTCTGAGGGGGGGTCCAATCAGACCAACCCGAATGCAGATCAATAAATATGTTAACAAATTCTGTAGCTTTCACAACTTGCGACATTCTAACCAGTAGATGAGGTTGCAATTTTTGCAGAATTCTCTCAACTTCACTCGTCATTATCAACTCCACCACATTTTATCTACAAAAAGATAATGTAATGAACCTGATGAAATCGTGAACAAGATTTTCACTTGCTTTTCTTGTTTAATACAACTAAGTTGGTCTGGTACTGTCTAATAAATAATAATAAAAAGTGACAAAGAATTTGAAATTGAGGGTGTGTTTGGTATCCATTAAAATTTTCATTTTCATTCTTCTACTCATTTTCAACCACATATTCTTCATTAAAATAATATTTTCCATCACATCAATAACTTTTCCTTCTTTTTCAACCACACATTCTCCATCAATCTACTATTCCAACTGATGAAATCGTGAACAAGATTTTAACTTGCTTTTCTTGTTTAATACAACTAAGTTGGTCTGGTACTGTCTAATAAAAAAAAGTGACAAAGAATTTGAAATTGAATCTCAGTCACGTCGGACCAAAGCCAAAAAGATAATCTGCTAGCTTTATTTTTACTGTTGGTATAGTAGATAAAATACCCTTATTCTTTCTTTTTGTTTCATTTGATTAGAGACTGCTCACAACATCTAAATCACTTAGGACAGGATTTGATGCTACTATGAACAGGTTATCGATACTATCCTATTAGGTACTGATGTGGTCATATGGCATCACGAGCTCGAGGACGATCGATACTCCCCATTTCCAATTACGAGATCCCTAAGTCCTCGAGCCTTGGTTAGTCCTCGGGATATCTCGAGGAAGGATCCTCCAGTGTGCCTCCAAAATCACATCAGTAGTCCTCGGGGGTATGTGCTCGAGATTTTGCCTTCACCAAATTCTCACACTGTTCAAACGTTACTAGCCCTCATCCCGAAAGAGCATTAACCCTATCCAATTGCCATAAATTAAGAATTCTGAGTCTATAAGGATTCTATCTTGGAACACATGGTAAGTGAAGATTTCTAGTTTTAATCCAACACTAATCTTTCCATAAGACATTCATAAAAATAAGGCGACGAGTCCTACTAGGAATGCACCACCTACTTCTATAAATATGGAACATCAGATCATTATTGAGGTACATGTTTGTCACATATATTTTCAACACATACTTTCTCTTTATTCTCTCTGTGACTTAACCATCGGAGGGGCGACGATGACACACCTCGAAGCCTTTGTTTCAGGTACCGGAAGATCACTTCCGTGCTCATTCTCAGTCGTCAAGCTCGGAATTTACCAGGTGCACTTTTTGGTAGCGTCAAGTACTAAACGTGCATTGATATGAAGGAGTTTTGCTCATTACAAGAGCTAGATTTCCGATTTAGTCGTCTTGAAATTAATTTACTATCTTGTACATCTACTCCTATGCGACTTATATTCATTGAGAGAACTAAAATATTACCAAATTTTAGGAATCAACTTAACCAAAACAGAGTTAGATAGCCAATTATTTTAGGCAAATGACTGTGGAAAGGAGAAACCTTTAATCTGTGCAAGACCTGAATACTTAGATTTCTTGTTCTACAAAATGAGGACAATAAGTAAGAATATGATCAAATTTAACCAAATATTCACTATTTTCTTCTGCTGTTTTACAAGAACACAGCGTAACTGTCATGAACATCGATCCAATCCAAAAGTTCTCAGACTTTCAATCCATAAGATAGTGATCAGCAAAGAGATTTCTCTTCATAATGTAGACGAATGTTTGATCAGTAATCACCTGCTAAACTCCCTCAAACTTTTTCATCGGTTGTGCTTAAGCTCCAGTAGATAATCAGGAATTCCCTGCTACATTGGAAAATAAAAATTTTAAGGCAGATGTCTTCAGTTAACTAGATGGCTAAAGCCACTTTGCCAGAAAGATGCCGGGTGTTGTCTTAGCTTTAATCCAAATTCAACAGCAAATATACTTGTTGTGAATTGGAAATTAGGCACTCTTCTCTTGCTAGCACAATTGAGGTCGAAATTTTGGCAATTAATGCGCTTTTGGCTTTCTATATGCTTCAAACTTCTAAAACTTCGGGATGATGAAATTGTTATCACAGTCCTTCTATTGTTCAGGTGCGCCGAAATCCCAGTAAACATAAACCAGAGAAAACTCACTAACAAAACAGCCCCAAGAACACTCCTGCTACCCATTGTGCTTATTCAATCACTGTAGCTGGAGAGTGTCGAAAGGAAAAACAATGTGAAATTTGATACTTTCTAGAACACTTATTCAAAGGCATTCCTGAGCACTAGCCAAGGTTTTAAACATTTCAGGAAGTAAGCATTCGAAAAAGAAATGAAGGCTAGGACAAGCGAAATGGAATTTTCTTGGCAGTAAGGAGTTCATAGGTTGAAGACCAAACAAAATATTCCATTACTATATTTGAATGTACATAAACTAGTGGTGATGATAAAGTTCAAATTATCCCCAATTGCTTTTTCACCAATGGGTCCAACCAAGAACTCCCCCTTTACTTTTGCATGGGGATTTTCTATTTCTTGGGACCTCTCAATCCCTCCCCCCAATTTTTCTCCTTCTACTTGGCATAAAGTAACGGCCACATCATAGGAACTGTTAAAAAAATATAAATAGAAGTCTCATGTCGACTAGACAATATAATTTACTAAGTTATGAAGCTAAATTATTATCATTGTGGGGTGGCACACACGGATCAACCTCCGCGATTAGGTTGCCATGGGGTTGGAATGAGGTAGGAAGTCCCTCTCCTTGGAGGACCAAAATTTCACTAGAGAAGATAGGGTGTGCGATTATCTTTTGTAAATATTTTTTGATAATGAAAATTATTGTAACGACTGAAGAGGGCGTAGTTTCATACTAAATTATTAAACCTCTATACATCTTGCATATTCTTTTCTGTCAATTTTTTTTCTTTTTCTATTTAATTGCTCTCGGTGATATAGAATTAGAGTTTCTAATTCTCAACATAATCTCTGATTTGTAAAGGATTTAGGCTACTCATTCTACATGAACTATTTTGGATTATAACCTGTAAAAGGCATGCAAGCTCCCCTTACCACTGTATACTTACAGAAAGTACTCTTAATATCAAAAGAATCCCATGTGATTCAAGGGAAGACCAAACATAAGCTGCAACTACATTTTTGGCTAAGTTTGTCAATGGATGGCGGTGCACAATTACCGTTACTCTTAAGTCGCGTGACCTTATCGAATAACTTAAGTTTTTCGATCAATTGTTTTAACATGATATCGGATAGACAAATATAGTTAGTTCAAATCTCGGTGCTGTTAAAGTTATGATTGCAATATTACACGTTTCCCAATCTACATGTCAACTTTTCTTCATCATTTGTTGATAAAAGAGGAGAGATCTTTTGTAGTTATACTCAAGGTATCAACAGGGATTGCCTTCAAACAAAAATGTGAGTGTGTGTGTGTGTGTGTATGATTGCCTGCAAACAAAAATTTGTGTGTGTGTGTGTGTGTGTGTGTGTGAGAGAGAGAGAGAGAGAGAGAGAGAGAGAGAGAGAGAGAGGCCTTTAATCCATGTCCAACAGATAAAATTTAACTTATTTTTGCTTTAATACATTTTGCCATACTAATATAAAACTAAAAGTATTGCTTCTACTTTACTTGGATAGTAGTCATTTTTCAACATAGCCGGATTCTTTTTCTCCAAGCCAGCCAAGAATAATTTAGAAAAATTTGCATTTGGATATATATAATTTTGCTTATAACGCCCTAATAGAAATTATCTAGAATTATAAGTGATGATTTAGATTAGTGAAGTGAGCTACTGAGGTGCTGCCAATATTAGAATTGAGAGAAAAGCTTCGATTGATTAATATTTTCCTCAAATATCAATTAATCTGCACGATATCTCATCCTCAAAATTGTGTATTGTGAGTCTGTGACCTATATTCCCTCGTATGTGTCCTGCGAGCAAAATGGATGTACTGCGACTTATGTTCCCTTGTATGTGTTATCCTCAAAATTATGTCCACTTGATAACAAGTGTGGCCAAACAATAAAATTAAGCAATTATGGCATATGGTTTATCTTAGGTTTGCGAAAGTCGTCGTTTGTGTGGAAGTGTGACCTCTAGTAGATTGGAATAGGAGCTATATTTTGAGTTAATTACAAGTGTGACCGCTATGATGTAACCTTATTTTTCTATACAGATTTGTTTTCCAAGTTCTGACGATAAATGCAAAGTTTATATAGTTTGATGTTTGACTCGTCTATTAAGTTGTATGTAAGAAGGGAAATATTTGTCTCTCGTACTTAAGGTATCGATGGTATGAAGATGAAGTTTCTCTTTTCAAAATTAAAATCGGATAACAATACCACAATTCTCAGGATAATGAAATAAATAAAACCATATACTGAAAATAGATTTTAAATATTCTTCATAATAAATACCTGATTTATTAAAATTTAAATGTATAACCAACCTTTTGTAAAGAAACACCTGCCTTTGTCTAGAGCCATTTTGAAGCAAATTTTTAGTTAAAATAAAGTCGTTATACATTGTACGTTAGAGCTAAATTAAGTGAAATTACCAATGTGCCCTTCACATAAAATTCATTATCCTTTAAAAAAATGACAATTTCGATACTTTGCGTTATGTGCAGTCAATAATTACTGCAAAAGTAGACATCACCTATCTGTCAAACGGTAATTTTTTTTTATTAAAATCTGGTCAAAATGGATCATAGACACGCTTAAAAACATGATTTCGTCTAATTTTTTTTTTCTTTTATTATCTCTAGTTTTAATTTTCAACCAGCTTTTATTATGTCATTTGACTTAATTTTTCTCTATACAATATCAAATTTGGACACGTTATTTTTTTTTGTTTGGGTTGTTGGTTGTTAGGACCTTAACCGTCCGATGGCCCAATTATGTCTCTTGTCTGACCCAAAATTAACCAGTGATGGGACCACGTATTCGGATTTTGGTTGGATGAATTGCTTAATTAATTTTAAAATTATATTAAATTTGATTTTGTCAAACGTAATAAACAGAAGATATTTCTATTCTTGTTTTTACGGCTTTGTCCCTTCACGTCATGAATTAACAATATCGTGGAAGCAACTCAACCAAACAATGTATTTACCTCACACGCGCTTCAAAGGAAAATGAAACTCAAACGCTAGTATCTCGTGGCGCCTGTTTTAGCGCGTGAGAGAGTGTTTACCCGAGGAAACTCGAGCCGACGCTCCAGCCCAGGAAAGTGCGTACGCTGTAGAGCTATAGTCAATTGTGTTGTAGTTGACTAATCATTATCTCCGAATTTCTAATATTTGGAATTGGGTTTATGGAAAATGAATAATTCGTAGATTAATAGTTAGGCGATTCCACTTTTAATTTTCAAGAATTTATTATTTTCTTGATTCATCACTTATAATTCGAATTCTTCTGTTTCTTGAGCTGGAGTGTGAGGATGGGAGCGTGTGTATCGAAGCCTAAAGGGTGTGTGGGAATGAAGAACAAATTGAAGAAGCCAATAAGAAGAAGAGGGAAAAAATCCCATAACAAGCTCAATCGGGTCGAACCCTCTAAAAACTCAGCGGATCTTGCTTACAACAATCCCTCATTTCAAGGTACCAGATTTAGTTTCGATTGTCGTATGTTTTCCGTTTAAAATCCCAATATGTTGTTCTTTTTTTAGTTCAATTGTTTCAGTAGAACTGCATTATGTAAAATATTGTTCTACTTCTTAAAGAAGGGATAATGTTCATGCATTTTAATGTATCTGCATCAGCCAGGTTTTTTTTATCTGCCCCCAAAAAATTTGGGGATTTTAAAAATAAAGATGGATTTGGGAATTAACTTCGATTGTCATATGTTTTCTCTTTTAAAATTCCATTATGTTGCCTTTTTGAGTTCAATTGCTTAGTTTAGGATGGCTACAAGAGCTTAGAATCTTGTTTTCACCAGAATGTATTGTACTAATTATTTTTGGATTAATGCATTTGTTTGTATATAATCGTTACTACGAAGTACTGCCGAAAGAAATTACTGATGTCATAACTTTTTCTCTGAGATTTATCTTGATTTCCTGTTTATCCTTCGAGTATATTATGGGCATTACTCAAGTTTATTTTAATGTATTATGGATTATATTTTTCATAAACTCCCATGGTTTATTCAGGAAATGGAGAGCCGTGGTTTGATCTGGACTCGGTTCTTGATTCTGAGGACGAATTTTATAGCGTTCAAGATGGCAAGTAGTTTGAATATTTTGCTGCTTTTTGCTTCTGTAGATTGTATGTTAAATATCGAGTTCCTTGTTTTATTCTATTTGCAGATGTTTCTCAAGCTGGATCCATATCAACCGGTGTTACTCCAAGATTTTCGAATACAGCATATTGTAACACCACCGAATTTCAGCCGATTTCTGATGAGCCACAAAATGAGGTGAGGGATTCAGCTCATTTGGAGAAAGCTTCAGTTCAATGCAGAGATGAAAGCGCTGGCAATGATGATGATACCGGAATTTCTCACAACTGTGGACTTCTATCGAACACCCTGCTTCCTTGTCTTGCTTGTGCTGAGTCATTAGACCAAAAGAGAAAATTGCAAAGCCCGAGATCACCAAGTTCAAGGAAAAAACTGTCCCTTACTACTTCTTTCAAAAGGAGAGATGGACAACCAAATACTATCTTACGTAAGTGTTTTTGCTCTTTGCCTTTGACGAAACGTTATGGTGACTAGAACATATGCAAGCAAGAAAGAAAAAAACATGCTACGTTTAATAATGATTGATGATTAGTTGTCTGTTGTATGTTCAGCATCTCCAAACACCATTGTGGGAAGGCCCATAGCGGGTTCTCAAGTAACTTGTTCCCCGCTAGAGAAGAAAATGTCTGAATCTTGGTCACAGATTGAGTCAAATATATTCAAAGTCCGTGGACGAAATTTTCTTAGGTGAGTCATCAATCTGAACGTTACTCTCTTCCATAAATAACTCAATAGCCGCACCCAAATGTCATGGCATATGCTGGTTATCACTTTGGGCAAGTAAACTCAATTAATTCATTTTGATATGCCAACCTGTGTTTTGACAGGGATAAAAAGAAAGACTTTGCTCCAAATCTTGCTGCATTTGAGCCGTTTGGAGTGGATGTATTCTTATCTCCACACAAAATTCCTCACATAGCTCGAT